TATGTAACTTGGGTTGCAAGACACGACTTTTTACACACAAGCCGGTTGTCTCATAGAATGTCCCACCCTCTGGAGTTTGTTATTTCCTCATGGGGATGTCCAGCGGGAGGTAGATCTCTAAGGCTTAGGTTCAAGCTGGACGTCTGGGCCTCTACTTTATAGATGATGCAGCTGGGAAGGTTAGGTAGGTCATACACCCAGCCCCTCGAGTAGTTTATCCAGAAGAGTGCTATTGAAAATAGCTATTGCTTTAGTCAGTACGATGGCCATGACAGAGTGCCGCAGGCTGCAGGCGAAGCAACAGGCACCAACTTTCTCCCAGCTGTGGAGGCTGGTCCTCTGAGGTCAGGGCGCCAGCAGGGTTGGTTCTGATAAGGCCTCTGACTTGTCCTTACGTGGCAAGGGGGAGAGGCGGTTAGGGCTTCAACCTGAGAATGTTGGGGGAACACAGTTCAGTCGGTGGCAGTTACTAACCACTGAAAGCCAGTGTTTTCATAGGTTTTGGCTTCAGGTGACATGGTAATGACTGCTGCTGTATTTCATTCAAATCAGGCCACTTGGATGGGTGTGTCAGAGGCAGCGGGTATTGATTTGGGGGTTTGTTTAGATTCTTTAGTGCGCCCAAACTGGTCATTGGTACAGCCGTGTGCCACATGTTGTGACATGTATGTGACACTATGTAGTTATGCTTTTCCTGCCAACATTCCTCGGCATCTCTGTGTGAATAAGGTAGTCCGTGATTGTCCACTGTTTTCTTGTGATTTTATAGCATCGGGCTCGGCGAGTTCTTCATTGATGGGTGTTTAATAAATGCTCCTGGTTAGCCCAGCAACCTGTGGGTTTTCTGGACAAACCAGGTGCTTGTAGGAAGGAGGTCAGAGAAAGCCGTGGGTTCTCCCCCTACTTAGTGATTCTGGGGCTGGGGCCTCCCTGCCCTCTGGGGTCTGGGAGGCAGGGCACCCCCCCCCACCCCCCACTCCCGCTCCATGGGCTGGCAAACTGCTGGGTTTGTTCCCAGATATTGGGAGGGCGGGTGTGGGCATGTTCACTCAGGAATTTATGTAGGTGGAAAGTGGTGGAATTCCTTGAAATAGCTCTAGGAATTGGACTATTTATAAATTTTGTTTTGAAGTTGAGGAGTTAGTTGACTTGTCTTAGTCTTTCTCTTAGGTTTGCCAAAACAGAACTTGGAAACGTTAATTTCTTCAGCTGGGTTGATTTCCAGGCGTTACCTAGGCATGTTTGTGCTCTGGTTTTGACACTGCCCCTCTTTGGTGTGTGGAGATGTGAGGCTGCCTCTCTTGAACATCTTTGCTTCTTGCTCCCATGTTGAGCCTCCTCCAGCTGGCCAGATAGTCACCAAGGCCCCGCCTGTGTGTCTTCTGCCAGTGCGCCTGGGGAAGTAACACGGGGACATATGCCTTTGCAGGTGACAATGTCATCCTCCCTATGCACTCTTTTGCACACCTGAAAGATCTCCGTTTCACCCCGTCCAATGCCGTGGTCCACGTGGGCGGTGTCTTGTCCCTGGAGATCACGTTGTGCAGCCAGATGCCCATCCCTGTCCATGTGGAGCAGCTGGCCATCAGTGTCCACTTCAGCATCGAGAAAAACAACTACCGGAAGACTGCTGAGTGGCTCACCAAGCACAAGACGTCTAACGGGATCATTAACTTCCCCATGGAGAGCCCGCCTTTCCCCGCAGCCCCAAACAGCTCGCCCGCGCTGGAGCTGTATGAGACGTTTGAGAGGAGTCCTTCCGATAACTCGCTGAACACAACGGGCATCATATGCAAAAATGTTCACATGCTCCTGAGAAGGCAGGAGAGCAGCGCCTCCCTGGACGTGCCCCCCGGGGTGACCGTGGAGGACGGGGCCCACGTGCTGAAGTGCAGTGCTGTGACTCTACAGCCTGGGGCCAATGTCATAACATTCAGGACGCAGGTGCGTGTGGGTGGGGGTGCTGGGAGCCAGCACAGGCCGCTGTTCTGCAGCCCTGCTTTGTTCTTCTATTGAAACAAAGAAATAGACTGATATTTAAAAAATCTTTTATGCAGCTTCAAGGCAGTTAACAAATTGCAAATGAAGTTCTTCACATAGCTGATTATTGGTGGTCTCACTGGATTTAGATTTTTTTCCCTTTGTGTTAAAATGCACCTTCATTTGAGATTTCAAAGAAGATGGCACACTTTTACAATAAACTGTGTGCCTTTTGCGGCTGTGTGGGTGTCAGACAGTGACTTCTGTCCCACTCTGACATGGGTCTTGCTCAGATGCAGTAGCGTGTCCTGTGAGTCCCATTGGCCGAGGAGGACGTGGTTGGTGCAAAGTCTAGCTGTTTGTCACCTGTGTTAGTCTAGCCTTAGAGCAGGTCTCCAAGCTCATGCTGAGTGGCTCCGTTAAATACCTTTTCAGAAGAGAATACCACAAATAAAATTAGTAGGTTGAAAATGCATTATTAGAAGCTTGAGTTCAAGTGTAAGCGTTAGTCACGCAGAAAGGCACTGGCTGAGGGTCTGCAGGCTCGTCTGAGCAGTATGTCCACGTGTAAGCAGAGCGGGACAGGGAGGGCGGGAAAGACGGTCATTTCAGAGAGTTCGTGGCATGGCCTTCTCTTAGGAAGCCCACAGTGACAACAGGTGTGACCACTACGAATGCTTGGTTTTGACCTTAGGCCAAGGAGCCGGGGACGTACACGCTGCGGCAGCTGTGCGCCTCCGTGGGCTCGCTGTGCTTCGTTGTCCCGCACATCTACCCGCTGGCGCAGTACGACGTGTACTGCCAGGAGCCGCAGCTGCATGTGGAGCCGCTGGCCGGTGAGTGGCCGCGGGCCGCGGGCTCTGGGCTTGGGTCCGCGGGCACCGCCCCCTTCACAGAGGAGTCGCACGAAGGAGGGCTGTCTGCACTGCCAGACATGAGTGCATCGTCGCCGGTCCCTCCATGTGAAGGGCGTTGTCGGCAGCGTGACAGGTGCCTGGGAGCTAGCTGCAGGTGGCTCTTCTGGTCATTGGGTATTTGCTTTCCTGTAATTATTAACTTGCATGTTGACTAAACATGGTGTATCTGAAAATAAGAAAAATGAGCTATCAGCTAATGCCTACTGCAGAGAACTTAAGTATGATTTCCTGCTTAGAGTTCCATTTTAAAGGCTAAATGCTAGATTTTGTGATGTTCTATACTCTTATCAAAAGTCTTTTCCTTTGAAAGTGTTGATTAAACTTGACCCTTCAGCATGGCATGTGAGAAACTCAAAGCTGCTGTCCTTGTTAAGCCCTAAAATCAGATGGAATTGGTGTACACAAATTAAGGCCACCACTTAATTCAAACAGTGATGAGTGAATGACGCAGTTGTTTAGGCTGCAACGATGTATTTATTGGCCTTTTTCTTCCATTTGAGAAATAAGTCAGGGAAAGCATGTTTTTGTTTAATCTCCCCATGCTCCCTGCTTTTCTGCTTTTACTCTTCTCCCTTGCCCACCAGGAACGGCCCTCAGTTCCTGCGCATAGCAGTCAGCCTCTCAGACGGTCTTTCTGTCACAGAGCCCACTGGGAGAAGGCGGAGCTGTGTGGTCGTCAGGGCCTGGGAAGGGCTCCGTGGGCCCAGCGGCCGTGCTCTCCCGCCGCTCCACGGCCCCTCGCTCCCTTCCTGCCCCACGCCTTCCCACTCCTCTGTCTGTCTCCATCCCTCCTCCCCGTTTCTTTCTCTTGCCTTCTTCCTTCTGTCTTCCCTGGAGTGGGATTCTTAGAAACCTCAGCTCATGCTCATGTAGGAGAAACCAGCAGCCATAGCTTTTACGAGCTGTTTCTACACCGCAGGCCTAACCTGGAAAAGCCAGAGGAAGCTCTGACTAGCTCTAGTTCCTTCAGTTTCACCGGGCTGCTCTTGAGTGTCCTTATCTGATCCTCTCTTACTAACTTATTGGCAGGTGACATTTCAGCCCCTCAGGGACACGGTTGCCACCGTGACCCCTAACTCCCAACCAAAGTGGTGAGAAGACCCCTCAGGCTCCCAGATTCTTTTGTTCCCAGCAAGAGCCCGTTAACCCTGCAGTCCGTGTAATTGAGATGAAGGGTGGGGGTGGGGGGATGGAGACTGGAAAATTCGTGGGGTTCCTAAAGTGAACAGATCTTTCTGACCAGAAGAAACAGTGCCCTTCTCACCTCATAGGGGCCTCCATCGGTACTTCTGGTTGAAGAGATGCTGATTGCTGTCTTTTTCCCTTTAGACAGCCTTTTGGCTGGTATTCCTCAGAAGGTCAAGTTCACTGTCACTACTGGCCATTATACAGTGAAAAATGGGGACAGCCTCCAGGTCAGCAATGCGGAAGCCATGCTCATCCTGTGTCACACCGAGAACAGAGCGGTGATCTATTCCAACACGAGAGGTGAGGCGCCAGTCACCTAGCAAAGGTGGGCTCTCCGCGTTGTCACGCACCGTGAGGGCGGAAGGAGCCTGTCCTCCCTGTCCTCCTCGGGTGGCGTCTGAGGCCTGCTTGCCCCTGAGACTCTTGCATGGCAGCTTCCCGCCTGCAGTTGGACTGTGACCCTGCCCCTGGATGGGGTGTTACACTGTGGGGAGGCTGAGAGCCGTGCGTGTGGCGCCGTGGTGCTGACGGGGGCCCTGCTGGCTCCAACCTCCTTCATCCTCCCCAGAGCCGCTCAGCAGGAAGCAAAAGTAAATGAGCCTCTTAGGCACTGGTCGGAAGCCCTAAGAAAGTCCCGTCTCCCCCGAACCCCGGCCACGAGGAGTGGAGGGAAGGCTGCTACTCCCCTTCTGGGTGGGAGTGGGTCCGGTGGTGTGATGCACTGGGGACACACACAGTACTTGGGTGGGCCACGTAGGAAGTGTCCCTGTTCTGTCTTCAGGCCGAGCACAGTGACAGTTCTCTGGGCTGTGACCAGCTGGCTTTCACGGCTGTCTTAGGGGGTTTTGTTCCTGATTTTCCTGCCTCTTCCGCCCCACCTTAATCCTTGCTAGACACACCCATTCTACACGCATAGGAGCAGCAGGAGTTGGACTGGAACTTCAATGCTGGGTCCATCACCTGCTAGAAAAGAAAAGAACAAGGAAACGGGAGGACTGTGTTACAAGTGACTTTTTCTGTCTTTCCTAGAAAAGGCTTCTGACGCGTCCCTCCGGGTCCAGTCGTCTGACAAGGTCACGAGCATCAGTCTGCCGGCTGCGCCTGCGTACCACATGATCGAATTTGAACTGGAAGTTCTCTCTCTACCTTCAGCTCCAGTAACTGGAGGGGAGAGCAGTGTGCTGGGGATGGCAGAGCCCCAGAGGAAGCATAAAGACACACAGAAAGCTGACCACCGCATGGCTACCACAGACCACAAAGTAAGGAGGGGCTGGAGCTGCCCAGCCTGTGGTGGCAGCCTCCGCCTGCCCTGCTGGCTCTGAAAGACAGCACCAAGAGATGACTTCTGTGAAGTGGCAGATTTCCAGTTCCCTATACCAGAGCACTCCTTGGGTTTAGCACTTATATCTGTGAATCACTCCTTCTTAGATAAGGGGTATCTCTTAGAGACAAATAGGCTAATCTTTCTATCTCAACTCAAGAGGGCAGGACAGTTTATGATAAGAGAGAGTGTTTGCTTAGGGGGAGGTGACTTTGGGTCCATTTGTCCTGGTCAAAAGACACAGAGTGGCTGAATGCTTAAAAAAATCAAGACTCATCTAAATGTTGCCTGCAACACACACATTTCAGATGTAAGCACACACAGAGACTGAAAGTGAAGGGATTTAAAAAGATATTCCACGCAAATGGAAACCAAAAGAAAGCTGGAGTAGCTATATTTAGACCAGACAAAATAGACTTTAAAACAAAGGCGGTAAAAAGAGACAAAGTAAAGCATTATGTAATGATGAAGGAGTCAACCCAATAAGAAGATACATTTGTAAATTTTATGCACCCTTCATAGGAGCACCTAAATATATAAAGCAAATATTAATAGACCTAAAGGGAGAAATAGACAGCAATACAGTAATATTGGATTGTCGGAAAAGTCATGACATATTTTTTCTATGTTTTCTGTTGCAAAAATGCATCATGACTTTTCCGACAACCCAATAGTAGGAATTTCAGTACCCCAGTCACATCAGTGGATTGATTATCCAGACAGAAAATCAATAAGGAAACATCAGCCTTAAACAGATGAACTTAACAGATATTTACCGAGCGTTCCATCCCAAAGTAACAGTATGCACTTGGAACATTTCCAAGATAGAGCATATGTCAAGGCCACAAAACAAGTCTTCATGAATTTAAGAGGATTGAAATCATATCGGGCATCTTTCTCACCGCCGTGGTATGAAACTAGGAATTAATTATATGAAGAAAACTGGAAAATTTACTATATGTGGAGATTAAACAACATGCTGTTGAACAACCATTGGATCATAGAAGAAATCAAAGCAGAAATAAAAAAATATCAAAACAAGTGAAAATGGAAATGTAACATACCACCATTTATGGGACACGCAACATAAGCAGTGCAAGAGGGGAGTTCGTAGCAATCAGTGCCTACCTCAAGAAACAAGGAAAGTCTCAGAGAAACAACTTCACTTCACACCTCCAGGACCTAGAGAAAGAAGAACAAAGTCCAAAGTTAGTAGAAGGAAGATGACAAATATAAGAACAGAAATAAATGAAAGAGACTAAAAAGACAATAGAAAAGATCAATGAAACTAAGCTGGTTCTTTGAAAATAGAAAATTGACAAACCTTTAGCTAAACTCACCAAAAACAAAAGAAGAGTCAAATCAGAAACAAGAGAAAATGTTACAACTGATACCACAGAAATAAAAAGGTTCATAAGAGATGACTATGAACCAATTATGTGCTGATAAATTGAACAACCTAGAAGGAATGAATAAATTTCTAGGAATATACAACCTACAAAGACCAAACCATGATGAAATAGACATTTTGAACAGATCAATTACTATCAATAGTAAGGAAATTGAAATAGTAAGGAATAGTAATCAAAAAGCTCCCAACAAACAAAAGTCCGGGAGCAGACGACTTCACTGGTGAATTCTATCAAACATTCTAAGAAAAATTAATGCCAATCCTTGTCAAACTCTTCCAAAACATAGCAGAGTAGGGAACACTTCCAAACTCATTGTATTTCCTGTATTCCCCTGATACCAAAACCAGAACAGGATGCCACAGGAGAGAAAATCACAGGCCTAGATCCCTGATGAACACAGGTGCAAAACTCCACAACAAAATATTAGCAGACTGGATTCAGCAATCATATACCACAATCAAGAGGGGTTTATTCCAGGGATGCAGGGGTAGTTTAAATCCGCCAATCAGTCAGTGTAATACACATCATCAAAATATGATCATTTCAATTGATGCAGAAAAAGCATTTGACAAAATTCAGCATACGTCTGCGATGAGCACACATGGTCATGCCGAGTAATCGAGTGTTCCCTACTCAGTGAGTTCATTCATTCCATGGGGGAGATAAAGTGACGCTTGACGCCTGGTTTCTGCCCTGCCGGGAGTTTATAGCTTGGTCCACACTGTGGCCCCAAATGGATTGGTTTTCACTTACGCATTTATTCAGTGTCACGTGGATTAGGTGTTTGGATAATTCATTTAGTTTTGTAATGGTTAATGACTGATGAGTGTCATCTGGACATAAGTGACTAAAAGTTTGTCATAACCTGCACAGTAAAAACATACATTTGGCATCGTGGCCACATGGGGTGGGTGTGTGTGTGTGAGTGTGAGTGAGAGAGAGAGGGGCGGGGCTGGGGAGGGGGAGTGGTGGGATTCGTGTCACTTGCTGTAGTGTCTACTCCACAGCCATCGAGGCCATTCTGGTGACTCACGGACGTTTTCCCCGTCCTGCGCCCGTCTCTTGCCTCTGCATTGTAGTTTCGGGCCTCCTGTGTGTGCACATGTTTAAGGGGGTTTTCTTTTCTGAGCGAGGAATTGTAAAGACATGACATGTGTGAGACATTGGCAGCCACTGCAGATTTGGATGCTGGTGGGGCCAGCTGTGCCGTCAGCGAGAGGTCTGAGTGCCAGTCCCTGTTTCTCCCCAGGTGTCCATCGACTGCCCGTGGTCCATCTACTCCACTGTCATCGCACTGACGTTCAGCGTCCCCTTCCGGACCACACACGCTCTGCTGTCGGCTGGGACCCGGTAAGGGAGGCGTGGCCCCCAGGCCCTGTTCTGGCCCAGGCTCTGCCACGGGGAGCCTCGCTCTGCAGAGCTTGGCCTCAGTGACTTGGAACCTGTTTCTTACATGGCCATCATGCTCCTGTCCCCCGTTCACATTTACGGTGACCCCCAGTGTCCTGCTGCACTCAGTCCCTAGTCAGATCTCCCCGGCTGTCGCAGTCCTGACTGAGATCCCAGCACAGTCCCCGTGTGACTGTAGCACCCCTTCTTATCCCTCCTCCCCTGCTCTTCAGACCCTTCCCGTTGCCAGTCGTGGGTGAGCTGTCCTTGGGCAGCCCAGCTCCATCTGACTGGCCACATCTCGTGGCTTTGTTCAGCACGTTCCCCAGGCACCACCGGTTACTCCAGAGCAGGCCTGTTCAAGCCCTGCACTGCGGACGCTTTGGGTCACATAACCCTTTGCTGTGGGACGTTAGTAGCTCCCCTGCTTTATGCCTGTGGCACTCCATCCTGCCCACCACCGTGTGGCAACCCAGAAAGTCTCCAGGCAGTGCCTGATGTCCCCCGGGGCGGGAGAGGGTGCAAAATTGCCACCAGGTGAGAGCCTCTGCCCTAGAAGCCTGATTAGATTCAGAGTCAGCCTTTGGAAAGGCTGGAAGCGTGCCGGTGGTGTCCTGTTTCCTGTGTCACTGCACCAGGGGACATGCAGTGTCTGGGTGTCCCTCCGTGGGGGCTGGTGCTCACTCTGACCACTGGGCCAGGGACGAGTCTGGCCTGGCATCGTAACATCCCCCTTCTGCTTCATCTGCTGGTGAGATTTGGGTAATATGGAATAAAACACGTCAGAACCGTGTTTAGAGGGGAACATTATTCCAGCAGGTTCTTGCCCCCTTCAGGTTACAGTGAGGGACTAGATATTCAGGATTAAAAACAGCAGCAGCTGTAAACATAACCTGAGTCGCGTTAAGCCTGGCTTTCCAAACTCTCTTTTACAAGTAACAGAACTTACAGCAGCCCTGCACTCAATTTCTCAGTGAGCCGTCCTGACGTGCAACGCGGAACAGTAATCACGCCTCCTGTGTAACTCACTGCAGCCTATTGTATGTTCAGGAAACTCAGTTATAATCGTGTAATAACACTGTAGCAGAAACAGTGCTTTCTGATAACATTTTTCCTCAGAAATGGCTTGCTTAGAAACATCTGTATTTTCTGACCCTTTTACATGTGAAATCAGAAGTAGGAGTGAGTATATGTGACAACTGGCTCTTATTTTACTGTGTCATTTTTCAATTCCCCAGAGAGGGTCTTCTTAAAAAAGCCAAAATATATTTAATAACGTTTTAAGTATCAAAATTATATTTTTTGTTCTCCTGCTTTAGGAAATACGTTCAAGTTTGTGTCCAGAATTTGTCAGAACTTGACTTTGAACTGTCAGATAGTGGTCTCGTCGATACTGGGGACAGCACCGACCTGCAGCTGATACCGCTGAACACGGCATCCCCGCAGGTAACCATGTGCGAGACTTGAGCATAAGCTCTCGACAGAAAGAGTGGGAGCAAGACGCAATGTTGGGGTCACCATGGGGTCTTGATGAGAATGACAGCGTTTGAGATAGAGCCTCCCACACAGAGTGAGCGTCCTGGGGACTGGTGGGGACTGGTAGCAAGCCCGCACCCCACCGTGGCCAAGTGGCGCAGTGTAGGGTAAGGAAATGGACTGCTGCTGGTCACCTTCGAGGAGTTAGCTCTCCACCTGTCCTGCCCTGTGCACAGATTTGTATAGCTAAGGCTTATTCTGAGTCACATGTGGGCAGGAAGTGGTGGTGGTTCCTTCCTGCCTGTGTCCCGGGAAGAAATCTTAGGTGCTGGTGTGAGGGAGCCTATTCACGTTCACACTGCCTGGCTGAGTCCTGACCTCGCTTTTTCTGTCCATTTGTCACGTGTGTTTTTAGATAGTAAAGCTGGGTGTTTAGAAGATCAAAGTTTTCTTAATGAATGTCTGATTGTTGGCATTGTCCAAGGATTTTCCCAGCTATTAATAACGTCTGACCCATTTCAAATGCTACCCCGGTCTGTCGCTGTGCTGGAGGCGTGGACTTGATGTGTGAGGTGGTGCTAACTCCTCATTTAACTTAATGTTAAGTACAAAGTAATCGGCATGGACAGAGGTGACCTTTTTAATTGGTTGATGCATTTCCCGTTTTGGAAACTTATGGGATACTATATACTAATATACATGCTCTACCGGTGCTGTGAAGCCTATGGAATCATAAAAAGTTAAAGCCTTTTTATCGATCTTGTACAGCCTTCTTCAGCGTCAAGGCTAGGCAGGACCCGAGGGCAGTGGTGGGGGTGCAGGGCCTAGGGCGGCACACACAGGAATGTGAGAAGCAGGACTCTGTGGGGCCGCTGCTGCTTCATCTCACACACGTTCCCTTTGCAGGAGGTGCGTCTCGGGCCAAGTGCTCGCTTTGTCCCATGTGTGCATCTCCTTGTTTGTCCCTGTGCAATGACAACTGCCTCTCTTGCAGCACATCTGCAGCCAGCAGTCGGTGTTCTTCGTCTGGGAGCTGACGTGGACACGAGAGCCTCCCCCTTCGCTGCGTGGCCGCTTCTCTGTGGGATTCTGCCCAGCTTCTGAGGCACAGCTGTCTGTCCCCTTGAAGCCCTATACTTATGACTTTCATGTGGAAAATTTTTTTGTATGTATTGTATTATTTTTGGTGTGTGTGTGTGTCGGGGGGGTGGGGGAATGAAAGGTGGCTTCCTATGTTTATGTTTATAATCTAAAAACATCAGACAGACAAAATCTCCCAATATAATGAAGCAGTTGATTAAGGAAAGTGGTTAACACTCGGAGTCGTTGAACCACTGGCTGTATTTGAACCAGGTCCTTTTCAGGTGACGTGGTTACTCACGCCACCTTGCTGGCATGAGTGTTTCTAAAGACCAGAGACTCCCGATCGCTTCTCGCGTTTCTCTTCCGTAGTTGACTTAGTAATGTTCTGAAACTATTTCATCTCAGTCATTAGCTGCTCCATAGGGGGTTACGTTATAAAGGCACGTCTTAGCTTTCTAAAAGAAAAACTGAAACTATTACAGAATTTTACTTAGCAGTGTTGGGAAGATTTTCTTGTAACCTGTGCATTTAGTACATTGAGCTAGGTGAGTATATAGTTGGTTTTGTTCCTTTAGTGAGATGATTGCGTTTTGTCAAAATGTGAATACCGCTGACCCTTAAAACAACTGTGGGTTGGGCGCCAACCTCCTGCCTAGTCGGAAATTCATGTATAACTTTTGATTCCCCCAAAACTTCATTACCAATAGCCTACTATTGACCGGAAGCCTTACCAATAACACACATAGCTGATTAACAAATATTTTGTATATTATATGTATTTATATACTGTATTCTGACCCTAAAGTAAGCTAGAGAAAAGAAATGTTAAGAAAATCATAAAATACATTCACAGTATTGGAAAAACACCCGTGTGGAAGTGGACCCGCACAGTTCCCACCTGTGATCAGTGGTAGTTTTGTGGCATTTCCTTCTCTTCTGTTTACTGCTGAAGTTTTCAAGCAACACTTTCTTTGTGAAGGAGTCTGTGTTGCTAGCTCCTGACATTAGCAGTCTTCAAACCCTGTTTCCAAGCAAAGACTATTGTTTTGACCCTTCTGTTTTATTGAACTCTCTTTATTCGGCTTAGCGTTGAACATGACCACCGCCTAGTTTACCTGTTTGTAAACAAGCAGGCACCTTTCAATGTGTTGCAGCAGCTGGACAGTAAGCCAGTCACGTGGTAGATAGTCTGCAGAAGTGTCACCTGGCCTGCTTAGTGCAGGTGAGTTTTAACTGGGTAGCAGTTCTCACTGCTACTTTTCTGTTTTGCTCCCTCTTCAAATTAAGAGTATAGAAAAAGTTTTCCTTGTACAGGCTAAAGTGGAACACCAGAGGAAAATGTCTGCTGGATTGTTCTTTTCAAAACTGACACTCTGAGGACCAGGGATATGGATGCCACTTGTTTACAGAGCTTTACTGAGATGTAATGGATATACCACGGAGTTCACCCGTTTGGAGGGTACAGTTCAGTGAGCCGGTGTGACGACAGTGGGGCAGCCATTATCATAACCGTGTTCTAGAACACTTTCATCAGTCCAGTAACAGTCACTCCCCGTTCCGTCCTCTTCTCAACCCCAGCAACCTCTAATCTAGAGGCAGATCTGTCCACGGGTTTGACTGTTCTGACCGTGTCATATAAATGGGACCATATTACGTGTCATCTTTTGGCGATGCTTTTTTCACTTGGCCCAGTATTTTCAAGGTTTATTCATTTTGTAGCGTATATCAGGACCCATTCCTTTTCGTGACTGCATAATATTCCCTTGTATGGATGGGCCACATTTTACTTTTCCACTTATCAGTGGCTGACACCTGGGTTGTTTCCACTTTGGGCTATTGTGAATACTGCTGTAAACATCCTGGTGCAGGTTTTTTTTTGTTTGTTTTTTTTAAAAGATTTTTATTGGGGAATTGGGGGGATGGGAACAGTGCTGGGGAATTGGGGGAAGGGGAACAGACAAGTTGCTGTCGTTTTGTTCTTCAGTCTAGTTGTGGAGGGCGTTGCTTCACTGGCCCAAGTTGGCACCATCATTGCGCTCTTCCCTGGCAAGGCAGATCAGTCACTGGCTTCTGGACGGCCGCTCACTGCGGCTACTGGCCGCTCACGCTGGCTGCTGGCCACATACGGTAGCCCATGGCAACCCACTGCCACAGGGACTGCAGCCTACGCCGTCGCCAGCGACTCACGGCAGCCCAGCTCCAGGTCGAGCTGTTGTTCAGCATCTTAGCTGTAGAGGGCAGTGTCACTTGCCCTCATATGTGGGATCCGAACCGGGGCCCTCTGGCGTCCCAAGCCAGTTCTTAACCAACACGCCACTCGGCCAGCCCCTGGTGCAGGTTTTTATGTACACACGTGTTCGGTGTTCTTGGTTAAATACCTAGTGGAGTTGCTGGATCAATGGTAACTGATTAACTTTTTGAGAAGCTGCTAAATCATCCTTCAGCAACGCATAAGGGTTCCAGTTTCCGCGTCCTCGCCAACACTCGTTGTCTTTTGATTATAACCAGCAGTGTTGGGAATGCCCTCCCGCGGCCTTGACTTGCATTTCCTATTGGTGTTGAGAATTTTTCATATGCTTATTTGTCATTTGTGTGTCTTCTTTAAGAAATGTCTATGCAAGTCCTTTGCCCGTTCTTTAATAAGGTTGTCATTTTATTACTGATTTGTTAGAGCTCTTTACAAGTCTAGAACTTGGCTCTTCCTCAGAGATATGTATTTGCAAATATTTTTTTCCCATTCTTTGGGTTGTATTTTCACTTTCTTGATGGTGTCCTTTGAAAAAGTTCTTTAAAAAAAAAAAGATTTTATTGGGGAATTGGGGGAGGGGAACAGCGTTGGGAAATCGGAGAAGGGGAACAGACAAGTTGCTGTCCTTTTGCTCTTCAGTCTAGTTGTGGACATTGCTTCACTGGCCCATGTTGGTATTATCATTGTGCTCTTCCCAGCTGAGGCAGTCGCTCGCCGGCCACTGGACGGCCGCTCATGGTTCACGGCAGCTCATGAAAGCTCACACCTGCTTGCAGGCCAGTCCCACTGCAGCCTACACCATTGCTGGTGACTCATGGCAGCCCAGCTCCAGGTCGAGCTGTTGTTCATCATCTTAGCTGTAGAGGGTGCAGCGTCACTGGCCCTCATGTGGGATCCGAACCGGGCCCCTGCTGCTCAGAGCTGGCGTCCCAAGCCAACTCTTAACCAACACGCCACTCGGCTGGCCCGAAAAAGTTCTTAATTTTGATAAAGTCCAATTTACCAATCTTTCTTATTGCTTGTACTTTTGTTGTAGGATCTAAAAAATCGTTGCTTATCTCAAGGTCAAGTACAATAGATTTCCTTCTGTTTTCAACTAAGAGTTTTATAGTTTCAGCTCTTACATGTAGGTCTGCAATCCATTTTCAGTTAACTTTTGTATGTGGTGACAGATGGGCATCCAGATTCGTTGTTTCCATGTGTTTATTCAGGTGTCCCTACACCATTTGTTGAAAAGACTCTTCTTTTCCCATTGGATGGTCTTGGCACCTGCCTCGTCAGTAGAGAGCGTGCACACTGTCCTTTATCCACTTGCCACCACTGTGGCTCCCAGGACGTGGGGGTCTCCCTACCCACGCAGGGGCTTGCGTCCCTTTGCACCTGTGCGTGCAGGCATCTTTGGTGCCCTTTCTGTCGGAAAGCTGCGTAAAATCATGCGCCGCCCCCTTCAGGTGGGTGGAAGTCTGTCCCATCCCCAAATAGATGGGACAGTCAATGATGGAGGCCCAGCCAGGAGTACTGCTTGGCCTGTTGGTTCTGTAAGAATGTGATATCCCGGCAGGAGGCTGTTAAAACTCTGAAATCCTTTTTTTTTTTTTTTTTTTACATTTTACAACACCAACAGAACATGTTTAAGTTGAGTTATACTGTAATAGCTTTATGTATCCATCATGACTTTGGTAAGTCAATACACTTATTAAGCGGAGCACAGGTTGCTGGATGGTGAGCTGCGGTTCAACAGGAGACCACAAGGGGGATGAAATGGGTTTATTACTCACCGGTCCTGGAGGACCTGCCGGCCCGCCTGGAGGGGTCACATGGGCGGTCCAGGCAGAGTGCAGACAGAGAGAGAGAGGATGGGGTCTCATGCCTTTATTAGCATCTGTGGGTGGAGTGCCTTGAGGTTCCCCTAAGGCTGGATTGGTCAGTTCCAGCCAAAGGAGTGGGGGTTGGGTACACCCCACGGGGGTCTTATCTGGGGGGCACGTGGGGAAGGCTCTGGGAGGCAGGGAGACTTGGGCACAGGGTGTTGGAGAAATCGTATCAGGGCTTCTGTGTGTCTGTGACTCTGGGCTGTTGCCGAGGGCACACCCTTACCTGAGGGGCGAGTGTGCGGTGGGCGGGGACTGTGTGGGTTTGGGTCTTTGCCCTGGTGGTGAGCAAGTGTTGGGTGAGTGTGAATAGTTGTCAATCTCAGATAGGACGCCATGGAGAAGGACAGTCTGGAGGAAGTTGGTTGTGGACTCCAGACTGGATGGTCCCAGGGAACTAATGCTCGTTTTGCTGGTTGCGATAATGGCACTGTGTTTCGGTAAGAGAACGGTCATGTTTTGTAGTGATAACACTGAGTGAAGCACAGACAGGAGAAAGGACAGCTTCCTTCGCGCCCTTCCAGGTGGGGTGCCCCTCGCGTATGCGCCTCACAGGGCCCATCTTCAGACTTACACGCCTCTGCCCTTTTCTCCCCTTTCCTGCCCAGACGTTGTACAGTGTGAAAGCGGAGATCCTGCCACCTGTGGGGACGGAGCACTGTAGGACAGGCTCACTCTGCCCCCTGGAGGTGTCCATCACGCGCCTCTCGGACCTCCTGGAGGCGGACAGGGATGAGGCCCTGACAGAGGCCGACGAGTATTTTTCCACCAAGCTCATGTATGAAGGTGGGTCCAGGGGCTTGTTTCTCCCTGTTGTGCTAATCCGGTGCTTTAAGCGATTGTGCCCGAGGAGGGAATGTTCTAGAATTAAAAGCTCTCGTGGAATGTTTCATTATATAACGGGGTCCTAGGCTCGCGGGATGTGGACTTGGTTATTGTGGAGTCGCTCTAATAGGCATTATCAAGCAGTTGTCGGGCTCAGAGCTGAACAGACATGGCACTGAGAGCCAAGTCCCTTCCGTCCGCTGGGATTTGGGGTCTTCGCACCGCCCCGAGGCAACGTCCAGGCTCGGGGTGCTTAGCAGTCTGATGCCTCTCATCATGGCGGCTCCAGCCCTTTCCACTGCGGCTCCCCCACCATGCTCCCCCCCACCCCCCAGGCCCCCGCTCCCTCCTCTGGCCTGCCGCCCTCAGGAGCAGCTCTCAAGACCTTTATCCTCTAAGAAACAATTGGGGAGCCACATACTACATGTTTATTTACTTACCTAGAAGAGCCGTAAGCCCATTATGTGGTGTTGTTACTGAAACAGAACTGTTTTTCAAAACAAAAAGAGTGGGGAGGAGAATGCCTTTCAAACCTGCCCCCTGTCCGGCTGACCTCTCGTACCTGCTGCCTTCGGACTGTGCGGACATGTCATGTCGGTGGAAGCACACAGAGTACTCAGGCCTCACACATTTATGTAGTTGGAAATGGGGATATTTAACAGCCTTCAGGTAACGGGGGTCGCTCTTTGATGCCACACCAAACTTGATAAGCGGTGCGTTTTTACCGGCCAGTTACCACGTAGCATCTGAAATCACACGAGTGACCTTTTGTGCTGCTTCATTCAGTCCTTTGATCTTTTGCACTTTGAAGGCCCTCTGAGCCCGGTGGCACTGTGTGACACCGTGTGTCAGCCACCTGGGAACCGTGGCGCCTGAGTTACTGGATCTTGCTGGTGTTGGCCCTTGTCATGTTCACTGTCAGAAACTCACTGTGCTTCAAGCTCACTCTGAGCTCGTTACAGAAACACTGTCAGGCACAGTGGCAAATGCACGGTTTCCAAAGTTCTCATTTTGGATCGAAGTTTCAAATTATATGATTGGCCACTTCTTTGAAGTGACAGACTCACGCCATTGATCTTCAAGAAAACATCTGCCGACACCCCAGGCTGAGCAGTCCGGCTGGCGGAGTGACGGCGAGCTTTGCGGCCAGCACCCCGCACTGTGTGTGGTGAAGAGCACGCGGCCTCGGCTCCTCCCAGGGCCCAGCTTTCCCGCCGCGCACACGGCGACACAGTGAGGACGGCCGGAGTGCGAGAATGGCTCTGACCTCGTGGGTGCCCTGAGGATCACACTCAGAACTGCTGCCCAGCGTGTCCCTCCCAGATGCTGTGTGTCCTTTGCACACCTCTGCTTGTCCTCGGTGCCACTGGTCCTCAAAGGGGCCCCATTCCATCTGCAGGAAGCCCGCCTCTGTGACCCCTTCTTTGCTGCTCGTGGAACTTCACGTCACGTGCTCCTGGGCTCTTGGCTTGTGCTGAGACGGGGCCGCTGTGACCTCTGCTGTCCTGCGTGCCTCGGAATAACTGCTCTGCTAGGTGTTAGAATTGCGCTAAATCACATCACAGCTGTGTTTTACAGGCAGCGTTAGTAACCACACCGGCTGTACATTGAGACTCTCTGATGTTTCGGGAGCACTTCCGAAACGGGTTTCTCCGTCCATCCCGTGGCGACGCTGTCTGAGCAGCTGCGATTCAGATGCCCTGGTCTGTGCCGCCCTTACCAGGCACCACCAGCCTGTTCCACCCCCTCCCCTCATGTGACAGCCAGCGCAGCCATGCTCTTGAGCATTACACGAAGGGTGCAAGGCCCTTTCCACTGAGAACGGAGCCGTGGTTCCTTTACTGACTTGGGGGAAGGGTGTTTTCCTGTGCATCGCATGCGCATCTCAGTTGTGAAGCGTGTGTGCTGTGTGGGAAGGTGCCGTTACCAGGCAGCAGAGGCAGCCTGTGTCCCAGCGTCGCGTCTGCCCTGGGGACTGAGACGGGGGTGATGGTGTGGGAGCACCCCGTGCCCTTTCCCGGGGTGAACGGGTGTCTCCCTCTGTTTCAGTGGTCGACAACAGCAGCAGCTGGGCGGTGTGTGGCAAGAGCTCGGGTGTCATCTCCATGCCTGTGGCCGCGCGAGCCACTCACAGAGTCCACATGGAGGTGATGCCCCTCTTTGCGGGCTACCTGCCTCTTCCTGACGTCAGGCTCTTTAAATACCTCCCACATCACTCTGCGTACCCCTCACAAGCGGACGCTGGTAAGGACTCCCTCGGTGGTGCAGTGAGCAGGAGCTCTGTGCAGCTGGCACACTCACTCAGGGCGCCGGCCTGCGGGCACAGCCTGTTTCCGGTGCCAGCAGATCTAATGGCAGAGCCCCGCCGGGTTCTGGGCTTTAGACACCGGCTCTGCGGAGCAGTCCTCTGAGCCCTCTGAGGACCGGTGTCTGCTTCCCTGCAGGGCTGGCCTCGTCAGCACGCGCCGCCCTGGAGGTCGGCTCCCGGGCGGGGTGGGGGAGGGGTCCGTGGCCGCGGCCTGCTTCTCACGCCCTGCGTGCTTTGCAGATAGCTGGATAGAAAACGACAGCCTGTCGGTGGACAAGCACGTGGACGACCAGCTGGACAGCAGCAGCATCAAGAGCCGGGGCAGCGTGCGCTCCGCCACCGGCAGCGAGCACAAAGGCTTGCCCATGCCCCGGCTGCAGCCGCTGCCGCCCGGCCAGGTCTTCAGCTGCAGCGCGGGCGCGCAGGTCCTGGTCATCCCCAGCGGAGACGACCACGTCCTGGAAGTCAGTGTCACATGACCACGCCCAGGCTGGCGGGAGTGCGTTGAGGGGTCCTGACTGCACATCCTAGCTCCGAGCAGACTCGGGGACTCGGCCTGGCCGCGGGGGCCTCCGAGTCTCAGTGTACAGCGCTCAGCAGAGTCCCAGCGTCCTGTGTGTCACCCGTGGTGTCAGGCTTCGTGTTCGTCTCTCATCTCCCTGGTCCTCCGAGTCGGCCCCCTCCCACCCCACCCCCGGGTGCTCATGAAAGGCCATGGCAGGCGGCTTCCCCCCGGGTGGCCTTTCGTCTGCTGGTTCTATGTGGAGGGACTTAGCAGTGACACGTGTGTGCCTTTCTGGTCACACGGCCGCCCAGCTTCTGGACCAGGAAGCTTTGTAAGTCTCCCCAGGTGTAACACAG